TGTAGTACTCCATTGTGTAAATATAGCACATTTTCCTTATCCATTCTTTAGTCAAAAGACATTAAGGTTGTTTCCAGTTTCTGGCTATGACAAACAATGCTGCTATGAACATGGTTGAGCACATGTCTTTGTGGTATGATTGAGCATCCTTTGGATATATATACCCAAAAGTGGTATTACTGGGTCTTGAGGAAGGTTGTTTTCTAATTTTCTGAGAAATCGCCACACTGACATCCAAAGGGGCTGTACCAGCTTGCATTCCCACCAGCAATGCAGGTGTGTTCCCTTTACCCCCCACAACCTCTCCAACATAAGTTGTCATCAGTGTTTTTGATCTTGGCCATTCTTACTCGTATAAGATGGGATCTCAGAGTTGTTTTGATTTGCATTTCTCTGATGAATAGGGATGTTGAGCATTTCATTAAGTATCTTTCAGTCATTTTAGATTCCTCTGTTGAGAGTTCTCTGTTTAGGTTTATGCTCCATTTTTCTATTGGCTTATTTGTTCTTTTGGTGACCAATTTCTTGAGTTCTTTGTATTTTTTAGAGATCAGACCCCTGTCTGATGTGAAGAATTTTTCCCATTCTGTAGGCTGTCATTTTGTCTTGTTGATCATGTCCTTTGCTTTACAGAAGCTTTCCAGTTTCAGGAAATCCCATTTATTAATTGTTTCTCTCAGTGTCTGTACTGCTGGGGTTATATTTAGAAAGAGGTCTCCTGTGCCAATGTGTTCAAGTGTACTTCCCACTTTCTCTCCTATAAGGTTCAGTGTGGCTGGCTTTAATGTTCAGGTCTTTGATCCATTTGGACTTGAGTTTGTGCATGGTGATAGATATGGGTCTATTTTCATTCTTCTACAAGTTGATATCCAGTTGTGCCAGCACCATTTGTTAAATAAGCTTTCTTTTTTCCATTTGATATTTTTTGCTTCTTTGTCAAAATCAGTTGTTGGAAAGTATGTGCTTTAATATCTGGGTCCTTGATTCAGTTCCATTGGTCCTCCTGTCTGTTTTTATGCCAATATCAGGCTGTTTTCAGCACTGTAGCTCTGTAGTAGAGTTTGAAGTCAGGGATTGTGATGCCTCCAGATTTTCTTTTATTGTATAGGATTGTTTTGGCAATCCTAAGGGGGTTTTTTGTCTTTATTTTTATGTTCTGATAAAGGTTAACATATGCATGCACATTGCCTAAAATGTGCTAACTTTTTAAAATTATGTTTATTTCTTTTCCCTGAATCATCTCACATGAACCATCTGCAGAATATTAAATTGTCATAATAACAATGGATCATATTTGTACTTTCCAATTAGTTATTTTACCATTAATTGTAGTATTAGCTGTAGGGTTTATGTACATGACCTTCACCTGGTCAAGGAGGCTCCCTTCAGTGCCCTTTGTATTGAGTATTTTCAACATGATGAGGTAGTAAATATTTCAGTACATTTTTCATTTACCTTGAAGTGCTCATAAATTTTTGTTTTATATTCTGTCTAAATAGTTAATTAGAATGGTTTATTTTAAAGGTTGAATAAAGCCTGAATTAGTATAATAATTATCCTTTGTTCCTAATGAGTTTCTCGTTGAAGCATTGTTTGTACCTCTAATAGAATCTACCAGAGAAACCACTCTACGGTAAAGTTTTCCATGCTATGGGTTTTAGAAACTATATAATCAGCTCTCTTAATGCATGTAGGACAATTTTTAGAGCTCTTTTTCTGCCAGTTTTGGCAATTATTTCATCTCCTTTGTCAGTTCCACCAAATGAATCCAACGTCCTGGCTCCTGACTGTCAGCTCAGTGTTCAGAACTGCCATAACTGATTTTTATGTTTCTGGTTTCCATGTGATGAACTGTTTTCCCTTTTTTCTATGATTTTATTGAATAATCTGAACTTAAATTTATCAGTTCTTCTCTCTCTCTCTCTCTCTCTCTCTCTCTCTCTCTCTTTCTCTCTCATGTGTGTGTGTGTGTGTCACAAGACGTCATGAGGTAGCCCTGGTTGACCTAAAACTCACCACATAGACTAAGTTGGGTTCAAACTCACAGAGATCCATCTGCTTCTGCCTCTACCCTCTGCCTCTGCCTCTGCCTAAGTGTTGAGATTAAAGTCATGTACCACAAGGCCCAGGCACTTACTGTTGCATTTAATGGGCTAACTTTGTATGTGTTACTATTTTCTGCTTATTTTTTGTGTGTATGTGTGTGTGTTCATTATCTCTGCTTTTATCTTTGGCATTTTTTTCCTGCACACACATTAGGCTTAATTTTCTATTTACATTCAACTGTTGTTTTCCCCTTTGGCATTGTTCAGCCTGCTATTCGTGCACTTAATGATCTTCCTTTTAAAATTCAAAGATTGCATCTCCTACAGTAGGAGATTTTTGGTTTTGAAGCCTGGTTTACTTTTCTCTGAAAAACATTCTGCACGTGCCTCACATTTTCTATGTCTTTAAGTCCTTGTGTCTATGCGTAATTGCCTTGAAGTCTTTGTTTCCTCTTTTCAACATCAGGATCAAATCTGTCTCCTGACATTTCCTCCTAATTTCCTTGTGAAATTCCTTCTTGTTCACATACAAGGTACGCTTTTGCTATGATGTGTTGAGTCCACATTTGGTCATCTTCCTTTAGCTTGTTGAGTTTTGCATTTAAAAGTACGGAATTTTACTCCTGGTTAAGTTCCGTCCTTGCAAGGCTTAAGTTAGGCTTAAGAGAGAAGTTTTGTTCTTAAGAAATGGTTTCTGGAGCCGGGAGGTGGTGGCGCATGCCTTTAATCCCAGCACTTGGGAGGCAGAGGCAGGCAGATCTCTGTGAGTTCGAGGCCAGACTGGTCTACAAGAGCTAGTTCCAGGACAGCCTCCAAAGCTGCAGTCAAACCATGTCTCAAAAAACCAAAAGAAGAAGAAGAAGAAGAAGAAGAAGAAGAAGAAGAAGAAGAAGAAGAAGAAGAAGAAGAAGAAGAAGAAGAAGAAGAAGAAGAAGAAGAAGAAGAAGAAGAAGAAGAAGAAGAAGAAGAAGAAGAAGAGAAAGAAAGAAAGAAAGAAAGAAAGAAAGAAAGAAAGAAAGAAAGAAAGAAAGAACAGAAATGGTTTCTGCCAGACCATATATTATTGCGTTTTGATGTTTTTGATTCAAGGTGATACTTGAGAGCAGAAGCCCTCCCCATCAAGCACCAAGTCCTTATTCAAAACCATAACTGCCTTGCCACAGTTAATATAGATACTGAGACTAGAACTCCTAGACCTTCATTTGTTGACCACAGCAGCAGTAGTGGAGAACTAAGTGATCAGTTTAAGAGAGAACTAAGTGATCAGTTTAAGACAAAAGCTGTCTTTCCCTCATTCTTCATTCTAGTCATTCACATTTCATGGTAACTTCCTAAACTATTTCTAGAACCTACCCCCGTCTTTCATTACTTCCAGTGATCAAGTAATACAAACTGCAGTGATGGTTCACTTGAATTACAGTCCCGCTGTGTTCACCCAGCACCCTTTCCTGCCAATGGGTCCTAGTCTGTCACCAAAATAGTCTTCTTAAGACAATTTGTGCTGGCTTCTAAAGACTTTCCTTTGACTTTAGATTTAGGCATGAGTCATGTAAGCTTACTAATGTGGAGTAGTTGCTCGGCTCTTTGTCTGGTCCTGACCAGGATAAGCTGGTTCATGTTCTCACATGCTACCCACTCTCTGTGCTCTGATAACTCACCTTCCTCCAGACTCTAATTATTCTGCCCCATGTCTTCTCCCAATACATGACCACCATACTCATTTTCCTTTATAGCAAGCCTCTTTCTCCTTCTCCTAAACACCATTTATTTCTACTTGTTCTGCAAACATCGACTATCAATTTGTGTGGATATCTAGTACAATGTTTAATTGTTTCCTGTTCATGTATCATGCTCATATATTATGGAGTCCCTTTCATAGAACAATTTTAGCTTTGTCTAAATTCTACTGAAATAATATAAGGCATTATAATTTTATTAAACTAATCATTACACATAAATTCTGTGTAACATTAAATGTTTACCGCGGTGAAGAGAGGCAGTACATCATGTTCTATTAATCAGGGTATTTTCAGCTCATATCTCAATGCCCAACATGAACAATGAGCCCAACCATTTACCAAAGATGAAAGCATAACACCATGGGAAAAATGAGAGTGACTTCTCCAGATCAATAAAAGCTTCCCATTGAGCATCAAAACACTTCATTTCCAGCATTTCTTAGAATATAACAATGTTATCTCTTCTTGAAATTAATATAGACATATTGAAGACTCCAAGTTAATTTTAAGGACCTTGGTTATTATTTCAGCTATTGTTGTTTCTCCAGCTGGCCGCTCTCACTTTCCCTGCTTTAAAATTCTTCAGCCTGCATTTCACAAATTTCTACTCTCTTTCCTTGAGGTGGTGGTATCCTTTCTGGTTGCTGTCAATGTTCCTGTCTCTAACCAACTCCTTGGTGTTTTCTAATTTGTTACTTTGAGTTTCCTGCACACTGGGACACGAAATAGCCTAAATAATCCGGGGAATTGTACTAAGTGTGAAGTCTGACTGGCAACTCCAAGAGAGCCCCAGAAGGTTCTTCTAAGTCAGAAAGTCACTTCCTATGTTTCTTAATACAGCCCACATTCCCCCTACCCTGTTCCACTTCTGCTCATTGCTTTGCTTCTTTCTTTCCTCTCTTTTCCCCTTCATATTTTTTTTTTGGCAAACCTGTCTGTCTTTCACGGAGTGACCAGTTTATCAGCATTTTCCTTTCCCTGTACAGGAGCAAACTCACCAAAACAATGAAATAATACCTTTAAGACTTGACACCCTTGTTAGTTTTCACTGTCTTGGGTTTTTAATGATGCAAACATTTGCCCCGATCAAAGGAAAATTTGATCCATTTTCTTTGCATAAATAGATTTTACTGTAAGAAGACTAATGACACAAGCCTCAAGAGGATTTTAGGGACTAGGAATGTACCTCATTTGGTAGAGTATTTTCATATCATACCTGAGGTCAAGGGTTTGATCCTCAGCATCACATAAGCCTGGCTGTATCAGGAGTAAACACCTGAAATCTCAGCACTCCGGTAGTAGAAGTCGATAGAGCAGAAGTTTGAAGTCAGCTTAGTTATGTAGAAGGTTTGAAGTCAGCCTGGTGTACATGAGAGCCTGTCTCTTAAAAAAAAAAAAAAAAGACAAAAAAAGCTTGAAGTTGTTTTAAAGTTTGTGGCACTGCCAACTGACTACAAGTCCAGGCTTCATGATAATGATCTGGTTCCCTGCTTACCAGCAGGATCTTCCCTTTCTTAAATTCAATTAGACTAATATTATATCCACTTTGGCTTAAAAACACAGTGGGGAGTCAAACCCACAATTATAAACCAGAGTTTAGCTGAGTACCGATGGGAAATCAAGGCAAATGCAATGTTTTTGTGGGGGATTTCTGAAAAACAGAGCTAAGTCTCTCGATCCCATTGTTTTAGACCTTTTGACTTGCTTGCTTGCTTTCAGAATGCATAAAGAACAAGAAAACAAAATGAAAAAAAAAAGTTTGGAAAGAAAGATCCCTTACAAACTGAAAATCATGTTGAGAATTTGAGAACTAAACCTTGTTTAAAAAAAAAAACACACACACACAAAGAAATCATCTACCATTTGCCATTGTACAGCCAATGGGAGCAGCCTGGGCTGTATTTAGAAATTCACCCTATTTGATATAAATGTGTTACTAATGACTGGTCAGACAAAAATGACATCATTGACTGTTCTATATATATTTGAAGTCAATAGACAATTTTCTGTGTGCTATAAAGGGGCCAGAGACTCACCATGTGTTCAAGGCAGGAAGATATTCTAAGGAGAAATGAAAAGGCCAGCGGGAAGCCAAATGGCAGAGCTGAAAAAGCAGCGAGGGTGAGCAGCGACTCAAAATAGGAATCCCCTGCTCTCTTGCATTTGTGAAGTAACTGGAAGCCATACGGCGACGCTAAATATAATCGATTGAAGGTAATTTTCTGCCCAGGTACATTTTAAAGCCGTTTATCTACCCAAGGTGCTTATTTGGCTCTGTTTTAGAATAGGCTTGAAAATTAAACAGCGGTAAGAAACCGTCTTTGTAACAGGCAACAGAAAGCCTTAGCAGTAGTAAAGGGTGATACTGCGGCCTTAGGGTAAGGAGTCAGGAGTCATGGACATCATGTGTACCTCATCACTCACAAGCTAGCAGTGACCTCTTACAGTCCAGAGTGCCTTCACTTTGAAGTAACATGTTCTGACAACATTACTGCTAAAGGTATTTGTAACATTTTACAAGAATCTACACCTTTTAAGAATTTTCTGACTCTGTCTCCTTTCATCGCCTGATGAAGTTTAATATTCAGGAGGATGCCTATATGATTTTCTTTGGGTTCTCCTTCTTATTTAGCTTCTCTAAGAACCCGAATTATAGGTTCAATGTCCTTTATTTATGGCTGGAAACCAAATATGAGTGAGAACATCCCATGTTCCTCTTTTTGGGTCTGGCTTACCTCACTCAGGATGGTGTTTTCTATTTCCATCCATTTGCCTGCAAACTTCAAGAAGTCCTTGTTTTTTACTGCTGAGTAGTACTCTAATATGTATATATTCCATACTTTCTTCATCCATTCTTCAATTGA